AATTTCTTCTAGGAATCCCGATCAAGATACAGTTATTGTCTACACCAAGTATTTCTGTCCTCACTTCTTGTCGGCAACTATTACGGTTTGCTAACACGTACTAGTGCAGTTTCTTCATACAGGAGCGGTGGAGACTCTAAGCTTTCTTAGATAGGAGAATGCCAGGCAAGAGCAATGCCAGAGAAATTGAGGCTGTTTTGTACACCACCTAGGCGCGGGACCCTACCTAACTTGGGTCCCGGTATCCACCTCGTTATTTGATGCCGGGAATCCGTTCAGGGCGCCTATATTACGATCGAGCACAAGCTCATTGCCGGCTCCCGTTCAATGCCGGAGTTGGAGGGGTGTTACGATAGGGTCCCGAAACCCCGGGCTCCGTATAAAAAACGAAGAAAGGCAGCGACACGACATTCCTCTACAAAGAGGGGCCCGGAGCCTAGCGAGATCCCAGGACTAAAAGGGGCAACGAGAAGGCCGAGCGTAGAAGTCTGAGTGAAATGAGACGACGAACGCTTGCCTTGTTATTGCTGTGGGGATTTTGCCAGAAGGACGACGGAGGGGACGAGCGGTGTGCTGATACTCAAACAGACAGATGCCCCTCAGAAGTAAAACCGTCAGAGCGGCATCGGGATATCACACAATTGCCGGGAATCCGAAAACATCATTAATTAGCGCTCCGGGCCAATCAGATGCTCTGCAAACGAATGCGGTGGGGGAAATTGGTCCGGGTCCCGCTCGGATCGATAGGGCCGCCAACCGCCAAGCGATTCTGCGCAGCGAAAAGGGGACCCTGTCAGTGGAGAGCTCCACTATCTGAACCCCTGCGGAATGACGTCGGGTCTATTATCGAGTCAGCGATCTGACTACCGAAACAAGTGATTGCTTCACACAATCGTCATAAAGCTTCAGTGATTCTTCCTCAATTGCCCGGATTTCGTGATACATGACTTGTTACCCCAACTTGCTGGATGATCGAGATTACCCAGGTGCAAAGCTATATCTAGCCTGCGATATCCGCCACCAAGGTGTAAAGCACCGCAGCAGATAATTTCTCCTGGGCCTCAAATTCCACGGTCCCAAATAATTAATCTGCGGTGGTCGGCCTCTATCATAGCAGATCCACCTACATACACAGCTAATCACTCGCAACCCATTGAATCCGAGACCCTCTCAGAAGTTAACCAATTTAATACCCCCCCAAACCCTAAAACTTCCTCACCCAACAACCCCAATGGCAGAAGACAGCGAAGCCGACAGCGCCCACACAGTGTTCCGCGTCATCCAAGTCCTAACGTTGATCCCATGCTGGGCGATCCTGGCCGCCCTAATCGACGTCTACAACAAGAATGGCTCTGCTCCACCATCCGGCATTCTCTGCCTCTTCATCGTCGCCCTCCTCGCGTCGATATGGTCCTTCTGCGTCCTCATCACCGCCATGCGCGCGCGGAACACAGCGCTATGGATGTCCTTCTTCGACATCTGCTTCATGGCGGCACTCATTGCGGGCGTGGTCCTCCTCTCCAACATCGCCAACGCCGAATGCGTCGTTGCCCACGTTGTCAGCGTGATATACACGACGGACGGTCGGAAGGTTTGGCAATCCGAGGGGAATAGCGATGGTTCGGATGATGATGATGGCATCTGGCAAAACAACGATAACTGCTCCCTCGTGAAGGCAGCGTGGGGTCTGGGCATCACAAACATCATTCTCTTCTTCATCACCGCCATCCTGGCGGCCGTTGTGTATAAGCGGAATGAGGAGGAGGACAGTGTAGTTGGGGGGGTCTACACCACTCGTGCTGCGGACCCGTACGCTCACCGTCCGAGACGCCACCGGCATCGCCATAGGAGTCCGAGGACTGGGGAGTACATTATCGAGGAGAGGGTTTAAGGAATGTCCAGGAAGAAGGGGGGGGGGGGAGTAAGAGAAGGCGAGGTTCCTGGGATAACTTCTCACATATTTCGGCGACACCCTATCATCACACAAAAAGATACATGCAGACGAGATCATGACTTTAAACTAATTTTTTTTTTTTCACACTTATATTTATACCATACTTTTCACATTCTCATATAACTTGTGCTTCGCGACCCTTTTCACGATTTGCTTTCACGCTTGTAAATAGTCTAATCCTCACCTCATGAGCAAAGGGCAAGGCATAACGGCGTCCTATCAGGCTAGATACAGTATTCAAAGCCCAAATCCCTTCCCCCCTCCTCCTCACTCTCAATACTCAGCATTACCGGCATTGTACAGTGCTATGCAGGAATCTCTCCACCACTATTTACCACTTCTTTCCCTTTCTTTCTCCTCCCCCCAAAAAAACACCCCAATAACATGCTCGAGCACGAAACCCACTACGGACCCGAACTCAGAGCTCAAGTCTCAGGAGGACTGCACACTACCATTGCGCCACCCGGCCCAGACATAAAGCTATCAATTACTGTGGGTCCTCATTGAAGACGGGTAGTCGGTTGAGTTCCGTTCCTGCTATTGCAGGGGATTTCGAGGGTTCGGTGCGATACCCCGGATCGAACGTGACAAGCTAGCGGGAAGGGAAGGAATAGCCTACATACATGTAAATTTGATCCGAGGTTGACTGTGGCCGGGATTGACTTACACCAGCCGCAAAGTTCCATGGACACCCACGTCCACCAATCAATTCTCAATTTTCGGTATGATATGTATCAATCCTGGTGCCATTCTGCTACTACATAGTAGTAGTATCATAGCATCCTACCTACCCTACCAGGCCTGCGCCATAACGGTATTATACTTGTACTCGTACTTGTACCTACTATACGACATCCATCTCACCCGATGAAGAGCTATCCCCCTCCTACTTTCTTTTCTTTCGGGGGCGTCGCGGCAGATGAAAAACATCTCTACTCGCTTAACTCACTGACCGACTTTTCTAGCAAAAAAAAAAAGTATAAAAAACAGACCGGTATATAGTGCAAGCACCACCAAACAAAAATACCCCAGAACCAAAAATGATTCAGCCGGGAATCGAACCCGGGTCGGGCGCACGTTGCGAGATGGCAAGCGCCCATGATACCTCTACACCACTGAATCCTCGATATGTTTGCACCCAGATGGGTAACATAAGCCGACAAGGCTTAATTGTTTACTGGTAACTACGGTACGGTACCGGTAGTATGAGACAATAATATTATCCCTTAACCTGGTGAGACATTCAGTCCAGATTGAAATGTCTAGCACTAACCTATTTGGGGAACTGGGAGTAAATCTACGCTGAATTTCTTGCTTCCATTATGGCCATACTGAACAGTACAGATTTTACAGAGTTCTGAGCACTACACCACTTTTGAAGCGGGCGGTTTTTCCTATCATGAT